TTAACTGTGCATGACTTGTGTCTATTAAATGACTTCCTAACTCACTTTATTGCATCCCATAACAAACCATGAGTCCTATAACTTCCTATAAATGAATCACTCAGTATGACATATTGCTGCTAACGCCATGCAATATTTTATCTTCATAACTTTACACCTTTCATGTTTAAAAGTTTTCTTTGCTACTAAAATGATTGCCATAAGTAGGATATCATCTATATTGCAATGTTTATTTATTTTTTATTATCACATTTCCAGGGATGATCACTCACATGAGTCTTAACAAGGGATTAGCAGGATCTTGTATTTTAATTTTCCTGTCATCGTGTTATCCTAGCCTCACAGCTAAGGATGGGGCATGCTATCTTAAAAAGAAATTGTCCCCTTGGTTGCTGTGATGATGTTGGACTACAAGTAACTATTTTATTCCCATGTCTCTACTTGTTTATTAACCTTTGAATTCTTAATCCATCATCACAGAGAAATCAGTCAGTCCCACATACTTGCTGCATATGCACTGATCAGCCACAACATTAAAACCATAGGTGAAGTGAATCACATTGATTATATTGTTAGAGAGTGACACTTGTCAAAGGGTGGGATATATTAGGCAGCAAGTGAACGATCAGTTACTGAATTTGATGTGTTGGAAGCAGGAAAATGGACAAGCGAAAAGCAACAAGGGCCAAATAGTGATGGCTAGACGACTGGGTCAGAGAATCTTCAAATCGGCAAGTCTTGTGGGGTGTTGTCGTTATGTAGTGGTTAGTACCTAGAAAAAATGTTGCAAGGAAGGACAACCGGTAAACGGGTGTCAGGGTCAGGAGCGCCATAGGCTTCCTTGAGATATGCCGGTGATGCATAACAGTAATTTCTCTATTTCACAGTGGACTATAATCTGAATGGGGACAACTCAGGAGCAAAATAACCAGTAATCAAGTATTTGGACCCATGATTTTGGTCTTATAGCACCATTATCACTAGAATGTCAATTAGTGGTTATGGAGAGCAAAAAACGGGTCAGAGTATTCTGAGAATGGACAGCAGCTGAAATAGCCTGCCCTTCGGTGGGTCCCCACTCAGAACTCAAGCTGGTTTTAGCTCATCTTGTGCCATTACAGAGAGAACATATCTGAAGCATATCAGACTGGTTCCACCCATACGGGCAGTCCAGATCCGAAATGCCAGCAAGCTCTCTCTGCACGAGAGATACAGCAACCCCAGACGATCGTTTCAGCCTTGTTAGGCATTATCAGTGAGGCATAGATGATATCTCTCTAGGCACTGTGAGCAAGGGGTCCACATCTGGATTACCCTTTAAATTTATGGAGAGCAAAAAACGGGTCACAAGAGTATTCTGAGAACGGACAGCAGCTGAAATAGCCTGGTTATGGTACTTAACCTGCCTCTTAATAACACACATACATTACCATACTTTTATTTTTCTGTATATATGAAAAAATATAAAAAAAACAAACATTTTGAAAATTAATCATGTAGAATTAAAAATAAGTACCATGCTTGGTGCCAGCAGTTCAAAGTTTAATTGAGATAGTAAGCAATTTGCAAGAGAGGACCTCATTGGGCTGTTGCAACGAAGTTGCAAACAGGTAGATATTGACAGAGAATTGTGCTAAGGGTGAAGTATTACACCTAATTAACTTGATTTCTGATAAACTCTGCCTATCACAGAATTTATGGCATAACTGTGCATACAAAAACTTATATTACATTACATGTTATTAAAGGCAATATTAAAATCTAACATTTTAGTATGACTCAGAGGCGTAACTAGAAATCACTGGGTCCCGGTGTGAAAATTGCCCTGGGACCCCCACCCCATGCATTTCATTCCCTCCTCATAGCCCCTCTATGCATCTCATTCCTCCCTAGCCCCTCTATGCATCTCATTCCTCCCTAGCCCCTCTATGCGTCTCATTCCTCCCTAGCTTTGCCATGCGTCTCATTCTCCCTAGTCCCTCTATGTGTCTCATTTCCCCCCCGGCCCTTCCATGCGTGTCATGCCCAACCCCCCAGGGCCTCCATGCGTGTCATTCCCACCCAGCCTCCATGTGTGTCATTCCCAAGCCCGCCAGCCCCTCCATGTGTGTCATTCCAACCCCTCACCCAGACCCTCCATTCATGTCATTCGAAACCCCCCCAGACCCTCCATACATGTAATTCCCAACCACCCCATGTGTATGTGTGTCATTCCCAACCCACCCTCCATGTTTGTCATTCCAAGCCCCCCCAGCTCCTCCAAGTGTGTCATTCCAACAGGGCCGGCGCTTCCTATAGGCCAACTAGGCAGCCACCTAGGGCACTGCTTAAGTGGGGGTGCTGGGCCTTACTTTATGATCAAGTTTGCGCCGGCGCTTCTGCCCCTCTATTTTTTTGAGTGTGCCGCCGGCCATGTTATCGGGCGCTAGGGAGCACTCACATTGCTGCTCACTACCCCCCGGTAGAACACCAATCCGGCGGTATCCACGTGAGCCCTAAGAGCTAAGGCCCCCCTCCCAGGCATCCAATGCTGTAGCAGCTCGAGGACGTTTCAGTTGCTTGCTCCTGCACCTTTCCCTGTACGTGGGGACAAGTGGGCGGGTGGATAGCAGAGGCAGGGCTGAGACAGGAAGTGATGGACAGCCAGGTGCATGCAAGATGAGCATAGGAACCGGAATGGAGGTAAGATGTCAGAGAATGTGTGTTAATCTGCTTCAGTCAGTATGCTTGTGTATGTCAGTCTGTATTGGTCATTGTGTGTCTGTATGGGTCAGTGTGTGTCTGTTTCAGTCAGTGTGTGTCTGTATGGGTCAGTGTGCATCTGCATGGGTCATTGTGTGTCTGCATGGTTTAGTATGTGTCTGCATGGGTCATTGTGTGTCTGCATGAGTCAGTGTTTGTCTGCATGGGTCAGTGTGTGTCTGTATGGGTCAGTGTGTGTCTGCATGCGTCATTGTGTGTCTGCATGGGTCAGTGTGTGTGTCTATTGGTCAGTGTGTGTGTCTATTGATCAGTGTGTTTATGGGTAAGACAGTGTCTGTGTGTGTCTGTATGGGTCAGTGTGTGCCTGTATGTGAATGTCTGCATGGGTCAGTGTATGTCTGTATATGTGTCTCTGAGTGAGTCAGAGTGTGTATATGGGTCGGTGCGTGTGCGTTAGTTTGCATGGATCAGTGTGTGTTTATACTTGAGTGTGTTAGTCTGCATGAATGGGGGCGGCAAAATTTCCAACCCTCTCCAGCCGCTGCATTTGTGTCATTGTCAACCCCCACATCGCCTCCATGTGTGTCATTGTGTCATTTACAAGCCCCCTCCCCGCACCTCCATGTGTGTCATTCCAACCCTCCACCCCAGAAGGTATGCAGGCGCAGCGGCCAATGGTTGCAGGGGTCACGGCTGGGTCCCCTGGAGTGACATAAAATATTTATAAATCTGGGGTAGGAAGACATAGAAACATAGAATGTGATGGCCCATCTAGCCTGCCCAATTTTCTAAATACTTTCATTAGTCCCTGGCCTTATCTTATAGTTAGGATAGACTTATGCCTATCCCATGCATGCTTAAACTCCTTTACTGTGTTAACCTCTACCACTTCAGCTGGAAGGCTATTCCCGGCATCTACTACCCTCTCAGTAAAGTAATACTTCCTGATATTATTTTTAAACCTTTGCCCCTCTAATTTAAGACTATGTCCCCTTGTTGTGGTAGTTTTTCTTCTTTTAAATATAGTCTCCTCCTTTATTGTGTTGATTCCCTTTATGTATTTAAATGTTTCTATCATATCTCCCCTGTCTCGTCTTTCCTCCAAGCTATACATGTTAAGATCCTTTAACCTTTCCTGGTAAGTTTTATCCTGCAATCCATGAACCAGTTTAGTAGCCCTTCTCTGAACTCTCTCTAAAGTATCAATATCTTTCTGGAGATACGGTCTCCAGTACTGCATACAATACTCCAAGTGAGGTCTCACCAGTGTTCTGTACAATGGCATGAGCACTTTCCTCTTTCTACTGCTAATACCTCTCCCTATACAACCAAGCATTCTGCTAGCATTTCCTGCTGCTCTATTACATTGTCTGCCTGCCTCTAAGTCATCAGAAATAATCACCCCTAAATCCTTTTCTTCAGATGTTGAAGTTAGGACTCTATCAAATATTCTGTACTCTGTACATAGCCATATTTTAAAGGGACACTATAGTCACCTGAACAACTTTAGCTTAATGAAGCAGTTTTGGTGTGTAGAACATGCCCCTGCAGCCTCACTGCTCAATCCTCTGCCATTTAGGAGTTAAATCCCTTTGTTTATGAACCCTAGTCACACCTCCCTGCATGTGACTTGCACAGCCTTCCATAAACACCTCCCTGCATGTGACATGCACAGCTTTCTTTATTGCAAGTTCTGTTTAATTAAGATTTTCTTATCCCCTGCTATGTTAATAGCATGCTAGACCCTGCAAGAGCCCCCTGTATGTGATTAAAGTTCAATTTAGAGATTGAGATACAATTATTTAAGGTAAATTACATCTGTTTGAAAGTGAAACCAGTTTTTGTTTCATGCAGGCTCTGTCAATCATAGCCAGGGGAGGTGTGGCTAGGCCTGCATAAACAGAAACAAAGTGATTTAACTCCTAAATGACAGTGAATTGAGCAGTGAAATTGTAGGGGAATGATCTATACAGTAAAACTGCTTTATTTAGCTAAAGTAATTTAGGTGACTATACTGTTCCTTTAAGTGTTATAAAGTTATATTATATTTTCATCGAAGTGAATATATAAATATATGGACTTTTATTAATGGTATGTTCCTTTTTGAATTCAACATATTGATCCATGCAGGGTAAAAGATTTTATTATACAATAATCACACTCACATGCAGGCACATACAATCTCACTGGCACAAGCACACGTGATCACTGATATACAGACTCACAGACACAAGATCACTGACACATGCAGACAAGTTTACTGGTACACAAACACAAACTTAGTATAGAAAACCTCTCTGACACACACACAAGCTTACTACAAACAAACTGTTATACACACAGAAGCTTACTACAGACAAGCTCACTGACATACATGCTCACTACAGACAAGCTCACACTGTCACACACACATGCTCAATACAACCAAGGTCACTGACACACAAACACATGCTCACTAGACACAAACTCACTGACACATATACACATGCTCACTACATACAAGTTCACTGACACACACATGATCACTACAGAGAAACTCACTGTCACACAAACTTATGTTCACTACAGATCACTACAGACAAGCTTACTGTCACATATACACATACTTACTACAGACAAGCTCATTGACACACATGCTCATTACAGACAAGCTCACTGACACACACACGCTCACTACAGACAAACACACAGACACACATGCTCACTACAAACAAGCTCACTGATACACACACATGCTCACTACAGACAAGCTCACTGACACACATGCTCACTACAGACAAGTTCACTAACACACACATGTACACTACAGACAAGCTCTCCGACACACATGCTCACTACAGACAAGCTCACTGACACAGATGCTCACTAGAGACAAGCTCACTAACACACACATGCTCACTACAGACAAGCTCACTAACACACACATGCACACTACAGACAAGCTCTCTGACACACATGCTCACGACAGACAAGCTCACTGACACACATACTCACTAGAGACAAGTTCACTGACACAAACACACATGTTCACTACAGACAAGCTCACTGACACACACTTACATGCTCACTACAGACAAGCTCACTGATACTGCACACACATACTCACTTCAGACAAGCTCACCGACACACGGCATATGCAGCTTCCAGACTGTGCCGCACGGCAGCCACGAAGTCTCCGGTCCCACGCCGTCCCGGCCACATTGAACACCGTGCGGCATTCGGTTGCTCATCTTACAGAGCAACCCCTATGCGCTCTGGCAAGGCTTCTGGATCAATATGGCAGCCTTGCGCCACCTACAAGTGTCCTTGGAAATTACAGTACACTATAGGTGTAGGTTTTTTTTTATAGCATTAAGATAAAAGGTCACATTATTGGGACACATCATCTGCCCTTCACATAATACACCCCTTTGAGTAATTTGGTGCAGGATGATGATGCTGTCCAATAAGATTTTTATTCTCCCTATTTAAACTTCCCTCTTTCATTGCCCTGTTGTAGTTTATTCTGCCAGAGAGTGCATACTGAGTAGTTGTTATTTGCTTTCTTATTTTTGTTCTCCTTATTTAACCCCTTAAGGACCAAACTTCTGGAATAAAAAGGAATCATGACATGTCACACATGTCACGTGTCCTTAATGGGTTAAACTTCCCTCTTTCATTGCCCTGTTATAGTTTATTCTGCCAGAGAGTACATAGTGAGTAGTTGTTATTGGTTTTCTTGTTTCTGACCGAGCTTTGTATTTGATTTTTCTGTATTTCTCATTCCCTGACTTCAGCTTGTTATTTTGTTTTTGAGTATCTCTGGTGTCCTAGACTTTGGTTTTCTATTTTGACTCTGTATTTTCGCCTATCTAGGGCACACCTCAACCCAGCCACTCCAAGGTCCGGTATACATACCTTCTCTCTTTTTATCCTTCATTATGGTTACTGTTTCCCCATACACTGTGTGTGGGGGTCACCCTATCTTGACACACGCATACACATGCTCATTACAGACAAGCTCACTGACACATACACACACACATCCTCATTGACACACATGCTCACTACTGACAAGCTCACTGACAGAAACAATTGTTCACTACAGACAAGCTCACTGACACACACACATGCTCACTTCAGACAAGCTCACTGACACACACACACACATCCTCATTAACACACATGCTCACTACAGACAAGTTCACTGACCCACACACATGCTGACAACAGACAGGCTCACTGACACACACATGCTCATTACAGACAAGCTCAATGACACACATGCTCACTATAGACAAGCTCACTGGCACCTATGCTCACTAGAGACAAGCTCACTGATGCACACACATGCTCACTACAGACAAGCTCACTTGCACACACATACTCACTACAGACAAACTCACTGACACACACATGCTCACTACAGACAAGCTCACTGTCATACACACATATGCTCACTACAGATCACTATAGACAAGCTCACTGACACACACACATGCTCACTACAGACAAGCATACTGACACACACATGCTCAGTAGAGACCAGCTCACTGACACAAATACATACAAGCTCACTCATTAGCAGACACACACACATAAGATCACTCTGTCATGGTCTGCTGAGTATTTGAAGCCTACCTAGCTCTAAAGGCTGTGGGAGCACTGTGAGGTAAAGTCACAATTTTCCAGTCTCTTCCTGCTGGCAAGGTCAGCTGCTGGGGGCTGGGCTTGAGTGCAGAGGCAGATCTTGAGATCAGGGGTAGGCTTGAGTTTGGGGTGAAGCAGAAGAGTCACAGAAAAGCTCCCTCCCTATAGTGCTATATCCAGCTACTGGCAGCCTTAATGTGCCCTCCTTATTCCCTTAGACTCTCACAGTCCGAGGGGAAAACTTATTTAAATGACATTAAGGCTGCCTGTCTGGCCCAAGGTGCTGGTATCCCGGTGGGCCAGTCCGGCCCTGATTGTGCATGCTTGGATTCTATCAATGTTATGCACTAAAGTGAGAATTCAAAGTAAAGGTAAAAAAAAGCCAAACTGGACAATTTCACTGTCAGCTTTGCTTACAGTTTGGTCACTCTGCCTTAAATTTGAAATTCTAAATCGATATGCTTTATAACTGTAAGGGGGAGACTATTTTAATTATGCACCCAGATATCTGAGGTTATAGACTGTACTTAATGAGTTTATGTCTGGAGTAATTTCTCAGCTAAGATTTCAGGATTTAGAGAACCATTTAGTGAAATGACTTCTTTGCATAATGTTAAGGGATTGGTGTTTGTTTGTGGGTTGTTAATTAATTTAATTAAAATTGCATTATATTATGTTTAACAATTTCGAATATGGTATAGAAAGGTCGAGGTATATTCTTCATATTTCTCCTTGTTTTGGAATATATTCTTCTGTAGATACATTAATAGGGAGGATTTGTTTGCCTATGTAAAAGGTTGGCTTTATTGTCCTATGTCTGATTGCAGCTGTACACTCTGTGTCCATCCTGTTTGTGACTGTTATCCACGTGTTCTCTTTTTTGCCCACCCTGCTTGATTAGGTGTCTAACTGCACATCCTATGAATTGTCAGGAACCAAGGACTCGCAAATATTAGGTCAAAATTGGAACATTTCTTCTTCCTTAGACTCAGTTATTTGGCCTAAAATTCCCAATTCCCTTTAAATCTCTGACAGTTAACACACTAGTGAACGGCTCTTACTGGGTTATTCACTAAAATGAGAATTGCCAGTTATTCTAATTGTATTTAAAAATTTAGGCCAAACTAACCACTTTAGAAAAATTCTCTAAGTAAGTTCTTCACTTTGGCTATTTTGGTCTCAAATTTGAAATTCACTTTTAATTTACTTTAAATTCTAGGCAATTGTCACCTTCAACGTCAAGCTGAGGACCGTTACTGGGAACCCAGGGTCTGCCGACTAATTGCTAGATTGTTTTGTGATTATTGTGATGATTCTCGTGAGACATTCTTTGTAATGTGCGTTGCTACGTGGTTAGTCTATTGCCAACAATTACAGTTTGTCTTGATTCATGTTAACGATTCTCCAGGATAGGTTTACAACTTCCCAGAAATTTGAATAAGTAAATTGATCTGATTTTGTCCTGAAAGGAACAAGCAATTGTACAGATGATTGCTGTGACAAAGAGTGCATGGTGCCTTATTCTAAACATGACCTAGCTTGACTATCATTTCATGTAGGGGAAACAATATTGGATTTCACCAAATGTTGGAATCTTTGAAGCATAAATTAGAATGAAAAAACAATATTTTTTTTGGGTGTAATCTATGTAATTGAAGGGATGCTGCAAGTATCTGGCAAAGTATCTGGCAAACGCTGATACATGAAATATTATAACTCATGGTGAAATACCTTATCTGGACTAATCTCTATGCTCATATGTTTTCTGGTTTCTAACTGCCTAAAGATGAATCCAGCACACAGATTGCTGTTCTCGATCTCATGTGTTGCAGCATACAGGGCATATAAAGGTCTGCATTGTTTGTTAACCCGAACAAGTGCTTCCGAACAAGTTAACCTCTATTCCTAACACTATAGTGTCTTTGTCCCTAGTTTCTGTGTCCCTCCCTCGCTTTTTCTAGAAACAAATAATGGTCATATTCCGGCCCCGGTCTCATTAAGCAGTGCGCTGGGGAGGGGGAGCAGAGACAGAACAGCCAGCTCCCCCTGCGGCCGCCATCAGAGCTCCCCATGCCAGCACACAGGTAGAAATTATGTGTCAGTGTGAGTGTGTGTGTGTTTGTGTCATTTGTGTGTGTGTGTCTGTCATGGTGTGTGTGTCTGTGTCATGGTGTGTGTGTCTGTGTCATTGTCAGGGCCGGACTGGGGATTCCAAAGCAGCCCTGGAAAAAAATCTATGCCAGCCCCATAAGTCATTGCGCCATATATTATCGCATGTAATATGTAAGGCCGTGTCTTGCCACCCTAGATGAATATATATATATCTATATATATATATCTATATACAAATGTATAAATTAGCTTGCACTCACGGACTTGAAGTTTGAAAAAATCGCTTTATTCAAAGCATGTTATAGAATCATCACACCGACGTTTCAGCCCACATCCGGGGCTTTCCTCAAGGTGAATTAACAATAAAAACATTAAATCCAAGTGTGAAATATATACCCATAAAAAGAATAAACTAACTCACCACAGGTGATGTCTTGCAGTATACCGGCGTCCTACTAACCCAGTGCGCATGCGTTATCAAACACAACCCGGAAGTAGTGGATCCGTGCGTAACCCGGTTACCATAGTAACATACCCACGCCATGAACTGCCGAAATAGGAGATACACTAAAATACAAACACCAAGTGCCCTACGAGAACCGCTTGATACAATTGTAACATACAAGCTCAAATAGAAAAAGGGAGCACACACGGTTATGGACTTATCACTGTTACAAGTTCATTGAAAAAACAACAAACTATTAGGTTATAAAGAAAAAAGTTATCAAATATAATTACATAATAGATACATATACAATGCAT